GAGGGAGGGAGGAAGAATAAGTGGAGGGGACTGACAACTCGGTGGTTAAGAGCATTGACTATTCTTTCAGAGGACCCAGGTTTGAGTCCCAGTACCACAGGGTAACTTATAACCATCTGTAATTCCAGTTCCAGGGGATTCAATTTCCTCTTCTGGTACCTGAATACACCACACCAGGCAGCCAAGTGGTGCTCAGACATTCTTGTAGGCAAAACACTCATACACATAAAATTAAAATATAAATGTGGGATATTCCTTTACACTGTGTGACTATATGTCTCGGTGACCGATTTAATAAAGAAGCTGATTGGTCGATGACTAGGCAGGATTTCCAGGGCAGAGAGAATACTGGGAAGAAGGGCCGAGTCAGAGGAGTTGCCATTGAGGCACGGAGAGCAAACAGGAGGTGCGAGATAAGAGAGAGGTAATGCCACATGACAGAATGTAGATAAATAGAAATGGGTTAATTTAAGTTGTAAGAGCTAGTTAGTAATAAGCTTGAGCTATCAACCAAGCCTTTATAATTAATAAGCCCCTTATCTGGGACAGATTGCCAGGACACAAAGAAACTCTGCCTACACATAAATGTTTTAATTTAAAAAAGGAGAGAGGTGGGGCTTGCTGTGTGGCTTAGGCTGGCCCTAGACTTCAGGGCTCAAAGGATCTGCTGTCGTTTCCAGAACTGAGGCTATCAGAACTGTCGCTCTAGCTTTTTGTTTTGTTTACCTAGATATTAATTTTTTACTTGAAATTACATTGTTATTTGTGTGTGTGTGTGTGTGTGTGTGTGTGTGTGTGTGCGCAGGAAAGTGGGTGGAGGTCAGAGGACAGTATTCAGGAGTGCATTCTCTCGTTCCACTGTGGATTCCGAGGGTGTAACTCAGGCTTCTGCTTCACACCCAGCATCTCAACAGTGCTGGAGAGTGTTATAGGAGGAAATGGAGTGCCTGAGAGGGAGGTTTGAGCGAGGGAAGCTCAAGCAAGGCCATGGAGAACCTAACTGGCCCGTTATCAAATTCTGGTTCTCTAACATGCTCTTCCACACACCACGTAAACTCTCGAGTTTTGTTCCAGCCCTTTGGTTGTTTGGGGGTTTTTTTTTGTTTGTTTGTTTTTTGAGATGCAGTCTCATTGTGTAGTCCTGGCTGGCCTGGAACTCTGGGACTACAAGTTTGCACCACCATCCCTGGGCAACACTGCATCCTGAGTCTCCCCGTTAGAGATGCAAGCCCTCATATCCTGGTGACATGTGAGGACACTCAGCACTGTAACCATGAGGAAGAGCAAGCATGTCCATCATTCTGGATGCACAGGGATGGGGGAAATGTCGAATTCTTGTTCTTGGTAGTTCCTCATTTCTGAGCCATTCCTTTTCTCTGGGACATCACAGGGGAACCCTCATACCCCAGAATGGGGGGTGGGGAATACTCCTGACTAATTGTTACCCATGACCCAGCACCCAGATGGCTAAGAATTGGGTGACTAAGTCCCAGTTGTGACAAAAAGGGCACACAGAGAGCCTCAGAGGGTCTCATCAGGCTCAGTACCCCCAGGAAATGATGGCATGTGGGAACCAGCTATAGCCCCCTCAGGATTCCTCCACATCCCTCTTCACTCTCTTTCTGGTCCTCACCACGTTACTCACCGTGGCTTTGGAAGGCCTAAGAGGTACAACCACATTCCAGAAACCAAAGAGCCAGGCATGATTAGAATAGCAGTGGATGCTGCCAACCGTTTTCTTCCTTTAAGTCTCAGTGCGTTACGTCATCACCTCTTTACCGCAAAGGAGTAAGTCTCTAATGAATTGTGCACACAGCACAGCGAGGAAACATCAGTCAGCCTCCAGTGACATCTGCACATCGCTCCAGTTTCTGGAAAGTTCACGTAAACAAACACAAACCCTGGCACCAGGGGCTGTAGGCAGGGTCTGTGTGCAAGGGCAAGATGACTAATCCTACTACCTCTTGGTGTCATGACCACCCATGCCAACAGCCCCCACTGCTGAGTCAGACTGACCCTGATTTTGTCTTCCTCTGAAGTTGTCATTTTTCACTGGGGGAGTTTCGGGAATGTGTGTGAAGGGTTATGACTTGTGGCAAGCCTGTTCTAAAAAGGGAAGCTGGTTTTGAGAGAAGGAACTCCATCGACTTGCTTGTTCTCTTCCTGTAAACTGGTGTCTCTCGACATATCCACAGACTACGGTGGAAGACATTTATATAGATGGCTTTGTTTTGTTTTCTTAGTATAGTTTTTTTTTAACTAAACAGTATTAGAGGGCAATAAGAAGACTTCTGGGAGTATTTTCTATTGACCAAAGGTCATGGACTATGGGCAAAAGGCAAAAGTATGCAGTGGTCTCGAGGCCCATGAGACAAGTTTCTCAGCCATTACCAGCCCCTTCTGACAGCCACTTACCCTGTAGAGTTGCCAGGAGTTGGGCATCTTAGTAGATAAATGGCAAGTCCAGATCGGTTAGGGACATAGCTCAACAGCAGCACATTTGCTTAATAGGAATGGGGCCGGGGGTTCAAGGCCCAGCGCTGCAGACATAAATGGCAAATCTCGTTCTGAAACGGAGAATTGTAGGACTGGGAAAAAAAAAGTGTATGTGGGACTGGCAAGATGGCTTAGTAAGGAAAGGCACTTGCCACAGCGCCTGACAACCAGAGTTGTCTCGCAGGGCCCACATGGTGTCCTCTGCTCTGCAGTGCAGGCTGCCGCACATGGCACCTACAAATGCAATGCATAAATAAATGGAGGATGGATGGATGGATGGATGGGTGGGTGGGTGGGTGGATGGATGGATGGATGGATGGATAGATAGATAGATAGATTTTTTAAAAGTAATTTTATTAAATTATAAAAGTTTCCATTTATGCCCCTCTTCCCAACACCCGCCCACTCCCCCCCCCAGATAGATAGATCTTTAAAAACTGTTTGGAGCTGAGCGGTGGTGGCGCACGCCTTTAATCCCACCACTCGGGAGGCAGAGGCAGGCCAATCTCTGTGAGTTAGAGGCCAGCCTAGGCTACAAGAGCTAGTTCCAGGACAGGCTCCAAAGCCACAGAGAAACCCTGTCTTGAAAAACAAAGACAAAAACAAACAAACAAACAAACAAACAACCTGTTTGGAACAAGTTAAGACTGTCTAGACTCCAACCTTGACATGGGGAAAGTTGAGAGGGGGCTAGCCTGTAGTCTATTTTTCCTTCAGAGCCCCAAGGGAGTTAGGTTTTAAAAGGAATCTTCCAGGGCTAGGGAGGTTAAGTTCGCCAGTCTGTTACCGTGGAAACCTGTATTTATTTGAGCATCCCTCCCTCCCCACCCCCCACAGAACACACTCCTTTAATTAGTCATAAGTTTCTAGAAACCATATGGAAAGTGATGACCGGGACTGTGCACAGCTGGAATGGGTTAGCGTCCAAGGAAGTGGGAGGGGCTTCGGAGGGATGATTCAGGGGCTGGGCAGGCACATTCTATTCCCATGATGCTCCAGACTTCAACACTGCCAAATCCTGCATCTTCACACTTCTTCACAAATCTGCTCCCCTTCACCTGCTCACAGACACCACCCTTGCTGGGGAACTGCTGGAAGCCAGGAGGCCTCCCCGCTGCCCTAACAGGGAGGAAGAGAAAGGAAGAAGGATGCTCAGGGCTCTGTCACTTTCTGGGACTGCAGGGAACTGATAGTACAACACTATTTTGCTCCTTCTGGGAACAGTGGCATTTCTTTCACAAAATGCTGATTAGCATTGATTTTATGTGCAAAAGCACTTTGGCCTTTCGTCCATTCTCTCTGTGACCCCAGGAAACAGTTCTCTCCTGACGTTGGAAAATGTTTGGCTCCCTTCTGTTGACCAAGGTTCACTAGGGAGCTGGCTAGCGAGAGTCCCGATCGGGCCTTCGTTTTCGCAGAGGACTGTGGGGTTGGAGAGGGTGGCTCTGTCTCTGCCAGGTCAGCGGCTACAGAGCCTGCGGTTGGGGAGCTCAGAGCGGTCTGGAAGCCGAGGCATAGCCGGTCTTCTTACTTCGGAGAGGTAAAAGCCTCCTACACCTCGCTTTTGTCCTTAACTTACTTAAAGATGGGCAGTCACCAGTGGGCTGCCGTTGCTGCATTTTGATTCATTAATTTGGCGTCGGGAGCAAGGTTGCTATTCTTCCCATAGAAAGGGAAAAGAGAACTTAGAAAAACCACAGAGCCGGGCTTGGTGGTTCACGTCCGCGATCTCGGCACTTGTGATTAGGAATTCGAAGTACCTCTCCGTCAACAGAGTGAGTTTGTGACCCTATCTTAGAAAAACAGAAAATGGCTTTGATGGGTCAGTGGTTAAGAGGGTTCCCCTTCCAGCATCCACATGGAAGCTCACCAGCGTCTGTAATTCCAGTTCCAGGAGATCTGGTGCCCTCTTACCACCTTCACCTGCAGCAGGCATGCAAGTGGTGTATAGACATACAAGCTGGCAAAACACCCATACACTTAAAAAAAATTGAGCCAGGAGTGGTGGCGCATGCCTTTGATTCCAGCACTAGGGAGGCAGAGGCAGGTGGATCTCTGTGAGCTTAAGGCTAGCCTGGTCTACGTGGTGAGTTTCAGGACAGCCAGAACTACACAGTGAGACCCTGTCTAACTTGAGTTTAGACTCACACAAGTTTGGCAAAATGGACACACACAGCCGCTTGGTTGACTATGAAACATTTTATTTTTGTTCTTGTTTTTGTAATCCAGAAATGTACTCGCCTATTGCCCATTTATTTATTTATTTATTTATCCCTCCCCCACCTCCTGCTTCTTCTTCTTTTTTCTTTGTGTAACCCTGGATGTCCTGGAACTTACTCTGTAGACCAGGCTGGCTGTGAACTCAGAGATCCTGGGATTAAAGGCATGGGCCACCACTGCCCAGCTCTTTTTTTATTTTTTAAAGATTTATTTATTTATTTTATGTATATGAGTGTTCTCTCTGCATGCACAACTTTATGCCAGAAGAGGGCATCAGATCCCACTATAGACATGTTGTGAGCCACCATGTGGTTGCTAGGAATTGAACTCAGGTCCTCTGGAAGAGCAACGGTGCTCTTAGCTGCTGAGCCATCTTTCCAACTCTCTCTTTTCTTTCTTTCTATCTTTTCTTTCTTTCTATCTTTTCTTTCTTTCTTCTCCTAATTGAGACATAATCTTTTTTTAAGATTTATTTATTTATTATGTATACAGTGTTCTGTCTGTATGCTTGCCAGAAGAGGGCACCAGATCCCACTATAGACACGTTGTGAGCCACCATGTGGTTGCTGGGAATTGAACTCAGGACCTCTGGAAGAGCAGTCAGTGCTCTTAACCTCTGAGCCATCTCTCCAGCCCGAGACATAATCTTACAATATATTCCAGGCTGTCATGGGATTTGAGTTCTTCTTCCTCAACTTTCCAAGACCTAGAACTTCAGAGACAAACTACCCATCTGTCCTTTGTTGCTCACTTCTTAACAAACCCTTGTCAGGGCTGGGGAGATGACTACCAAGGTTGGGGACATGGCTACCAGGATTGGGGAGATGGTTACCAGGGTTGGGGACATGGCTTCCGGGGTTGGGGACACGGCTACTGGGGTTGGGAACATGGCTGCTGGGGTTGGGGAGATAGATACCAGGGGTTGGGGACATGGTTGCCGGGGTTGGGGAGATAGCTACCAGGGTTGAGGACATGGCTACTGGGGTTGGGGACATGGCTGCCAGGAGAGTACTTGCCTCACAAGCACAAGGGCCCGTGAACCCAAGCCCAGACCCATGGTACAGCACAGGTGTAGGAGCCTGGAGTGATGGTCCACAGGTTAAATCAGTGGTTCTTCACCAGGCGGGGTGGACTTTAATCCTAGGACCCCAAGACAGAGGCAGAGGGAGCTCTCTGAGCTTGGGGTCAGCCTGGTCTACAGAGTGAGTTCCAGGACAGCCAGGGCTACAGAGAACCTGTTTCGGGAAAAGAGTGCACAGTGCCTGAGGTAGAAGGATCCCAAGGGTCTCAGGGTTTCTGCTGCTGCAGTGAAGCACCGTGAGCAAAACACAAAGTAGGGATGAAAAGGTGCATCTGGCTTCCACTTCCACATGGCTGCTCATCACCAAAGAGAGTCAAGACAGGAACTTAAACAGGGCAGGAACCTGGAAGCAGGAGCTGATACAGAGGCCATGGAGGGGTGCTGCACACTGGCTCGTTTCCCCTGGCTTGCTCAGCCTGCTTTCTTATAGAACCCAGGACCACCAGCCCAGGGATGGAACCATAGTGTACTGAGCCCTTCCTTACTTCTCACTGATCACTCATTGATAAGATAACTTGCAGGTGGATCTCATGCGGGCATTTTCTCAGTTGAGGTTTCTTCCTCTCTGATGACTCTAGCTTGTGTCGGGTTGACATTAAACGAGGCAGCAAGTCTCAGGGCAGCCTGAGACACATAGCAAGACCATAACACACACACACACACACATGCGCACGCACATACAAACACACACTGCACGCTGTTTTGGAGAAGACTTAGTGTGTAAAATACTTGCAAAGCAAGCATGGGGACTAGAGTTTGGGTACCCACACTTATAAATGCCGAGTGTGCATAGTGACCCATCTGTAGCCCTGTTGTTTGAAAGGCAGAGCAGAGCATCTCTGGAGTAAGGTGACTAGCTAGGCCAGCCAAATTGGTGAACATTCTGGGCTCAATGAGAGATCTCACTTCCATATATAAGGTGGAACGTGATCAAGGCAGACACAGTACATCAAGTTGTCCCATAAATATGCACATGCATATGTGAATACACACTTGCACATCCCTGTACACATGCGAAAATCCACTGTGGTGTATGTATTTGTGCATGTGTTAGAATGGAGACGTTACAGAGCTGTCTGGCTATTTTCTTTCTTAAAAGATTTATATTACTTGATGTGTGTGTTTTGCCTGAACACAAGTATGTGTACTTACTATGTGTATGCCCGGTGCCCACAGAGGTCTGAAACGGGTTTCGGATTCCCTAGACTGAGGTAAGGATGGTTATTAACCACTATATGGGTCCTGGGAATTGAACCTGGATTCTCTGAAGGAGTATAAGTGCTCTTAACCACTGACCTCTCTTTCTAGCCCCCATCTACTTTCAAAACAAAAGCCAAGGATCATCAGGTAAGGTGCACACTAAGAGAAAAAATCAGAGAGCTTTGTAAACTAAACATTGGAATGGGTAGAGAATATTCATTCACTTGATCACTAGCCGGAGAACAAAACATGGCCGTGGTGGTCAACAAGATTGAGAAGAACTGATCTGCAAGGGCCTTAACCTCTTGCTATGAGGCTGACAATGGCGGGCAGTGGCAAAAAGAGAGCCAAGAAGCAACTAGTCAGCCTGGGGGCATGGGCTGAGGCCTCAGGATATCAAATTCAGCATCAGCTTGAGCTCCAGAGTGAGGTTTTATCCAAGAGTCTGGGAGATGGCTCCATGGGTAAAAGTGCTTGCCATGTAGTCCTGAGGACCAGCATTCTGATCCCCAGAATCCATGTAGCAATCCATGTTCCTATGTGTGGTGGTTTGAACGAGAATGGCCCCATAAGTTCAAATAGTTGAATGCTTGGTCCCTAGTGGGTGGAACTGTTTGGGAAGGACTAGGAGGCGTGTCCTTGTTGGAGAAAGTGTGTCACTAGGGGTGGACTGTGAGGTTTCAGAAGCCAACATTGTTCCCAATTAGACCTCTCTCTCTCTCTGTCTCTGTCTCTGTGTGTGTGTGTGGGTGTGTGTGTCTGCCTCATAGTTGTGTCTCAAGACATAAGTATTCAGCTACTGTTCCAGCATCACGCCTGCCTTCTCCCATGCTCCCAGCCATATGGTCATGGACTCTAGCTCTCTGGAATCATGAGGCCCCAAATTAAATGCTTTCTCTTAAGTTGCCTTGGTCTTGGTGTTTGTGATGACAGCAGAAAAGTGAGCAGACACACGAGAAGAGGAGAAGTGGGAAAAGTGGAATCCCTGGACTTCCATACCTCAGGGAGCTCAAGTTGGCTTTTGACTCACGGTGTAGCTAAAGGTGTCCCGGAACTCCAAATCCTTTCTGCGCCTGTTTCCCAAGTGCTGGTGTTATAGGCTTGTGACATCAAGCTCAGTATTTTTGTTGTTGTTATTTGGTTTTGGTTATAGTGTCTTGAGACAAGGCTTCACAATGAATGGCCTAAAATTCACCATAGAAATCAATCTGGGCTCAAACTCTGAGCTATCCTTCCAACCTCTGCCACCTGGATCGCTGGGGTTGCAGACATAACCGTCACTCCCGTTCAGACCTTTCAAATTCATGCCTAAGTAAACAGTTTACAAAGAGTCCACAAAATATCTTTCAATCATTTTATGTGTATGGATGTTTTGTCTGCATATATGTCTGTGCACCACATGTATGCCTAGTGCCCAAGAATGTGGTGAGCCTCCATGTGAGTACTGGGAATCACAACTGAATCCTTTGTAGGAATAGCAAATGCTCTTAACCACTGACCCAATTCTCCAGCCCAAATATATATACATATATATAACATTTAATTTTTTTTAAAGTAGATCTTTTTTCTTCGAGACAGGGTTTCTTTGTGTAACAGTCCTAGCTGTCCTGGAACTAGCTCTTGTAGACCAGGCTGGCCTTGAACTGACGGAGATCCACCTGCCTCTGCCTCCCAAGTGCTGGGATTAAAGATGTGTGCCACTACTGCCTGGTTAAATTCATTTTTATTTATGTGCATTGATTTTTGCCTGCATGTGTATCTGTGTGATGGTATAAGAAGCTCTGGAGCTGGATTTACAGACAGGTGTGAGCTGCCATGTGGGTGCTGGGAATTGAACCTGGGTCCTCTGGAAGAGCAGACAGTGCTCTTAACCCTCTTAACCGCTGAGCCACCTCTCCAGCCCACATTTGTTTATTTTTATTGTATATGTCATGGTGCCCGTGTGGAGGTCAGAAATGTTGCAGCAATTGGTTCTCTTCTTCCACCAAGTGGGTTAATTTTGAAGAGAGAAGAGAGATGCAGCTACCATCTCCTCAGGT